AACGTGCGAGTCAATTCAAAACATAAGATTACTTTCTACAAACAGATCTATAAGGTTATCCAAGATTATCAAAATAAATTCAAAATGGCTGCTGGAGTACATACAGATTTGGAGTTCATTGTTATTGTTATCTTGTTGTCTAGTTTTATTTTGCCGATTTGCATTATTGTCAAGCTCCTTGTGAAGCGGAAAAGGAAAAAGGTAGATGAGTTCACAGAATTCGGTGGTCTTTTTGTTGTGTTGTTGGATGTGGAAGTCGAAAACAACGTGACAATTCGAGTTTCTTCAGATTTACCACAGGTGAATTGAATTTCAAACATAATCCAACGAGTAATAAAATATCTATAAAACGACATCAAAAAAGGATTTAAGTGATTAGAAGACCAGGATTTAACTGAAACGAAAGCCAAATATGCTGGAGTTTGCAGCAAATATTTTCTGACTGGTAAGAAGTTATCTGCAAAGAGAATTATCTTGTAATATAAACTACTCTTTTAGGAAAACCTTCGGATTTGTTAGATGTTGATAGGTAACCCTGACTGCAAAATCTCAAAAAACTGTACCATACATGTACATTGTAGTGGTATATTTGATGTAGTATTATACAATGGGCGTGTACACCTTAGTAGAACTTTTAACCCAAACCATGTTTATAATGATCCTTTCATACATAAATAATGACTGACGACATAATTCGTTCGAAAAATCAACTGGAATGTTTTATTTTTGGACATAAATAATAGTACCTTCTGAAAACGGACCCTCTTATGACGTAGAAACCTCATCTCGCCATAGTTGAAAGAAAATACCAAACGCCCGACGGATACTGAGGCAACTGATATCTTAATTCATTCAACTGTGATCTCGCGCTAATCCACTCTGTCAGAAATCATGTATCATTCATCTCTGTCTGGAATAGTCTTGTTTCAGTATTAGGGTTTTGACGTCACATCATCGCCTCGTTTTCAGAGGTCCGTAAAATCGGGGATTTCAATAATTTTTTATAAAACGTAGGGAGCTCACAGCAAGAAACGGTTTGCGGTGGTGAGCTAGTTTGGGCGAGTTCTATCGAATTATGAAATACAATTTTTTTGTGATATAAGCCCATCTTGTAGTTAGATGAATGTAGTGACTGGCGCTAATTTTACTAAACGTTTGATATTCACTACCGACTATTTGTCGTCTATTGCTTTGAGTTTAACCCGCGGAATTTAGCATTATACTGCTGGTCAGTATCTATCCATTGTCACCAAATGATCAAATTTCCTTGCAGAAGCCATTATAGTTCACTAAATTAGCACAATATATACCACCGAGAACCGGTGAAAACATCAAACATGGATCAAACAATGCTTTTACTTGGCCTTTATGTACTCCAGCGGCCATTTTTAAAGGTGCATGATCACTTGTTCTATATAACCTTATTCACAAACATAAAAGCGGTAAACAGCAAATGGGTAAGAATATATTGGTACTGGCCCGCCCGGGATTAAACCCGGACCAGTTGGTGAATTTAGCAACATAGGTATATTTGTGTTGATACATCATTCGAATTGATGTGAAATCATGATTAAAATATGGGTCGCCATTCAAAAATTTGAAATTAAGGGTGATTATTTTGGGGTATTTCGGAGCAATCATTCAGGAATGATTGCTCCGAAAATTGCTCTTTGATGAAAGATTCAGGCATAGGTAAGCAATTTCAATTTCCCCATATCATAACTGAATAAGTATATATCCTAAACAGTTCGTGATAATTTTGTTTAGATAATCTCTCAACTCTGGCCTAAGGCATCGGAAAATTAAAATCATTTGTCGGTATATGCCGTATCTGATATATCAGTTATCAGTTTATATTTTTGCATAGTTCCATTACGTAATGTATTCTCGGATTCATTATTGATAACTCATGAACAACAACTATGTGTAAGTAGGTATGTGTATCATTCTTCCATTTTGCTCTAGTCTGAATACAATACATTTAGATACATACAGTGTGACCCACTTCTAATGGAACCACCCCTGTATCTTACGTAATCGTTGGGTAAGGATCCTGAAATTTGCTGGAGCGAGAGATATACCAAAAATGCACTCTATGACCAAGTGGGGTCATCTTCAGTGATATACACTGCTCGCCAACAGCCATGAAACTACCCCAATTTCCGGAAAATGATATTAGGAGTCAAAATGGGTCGAAAATCACTTCAGATTTGGAATCAGGACGCCCAATTTACTAACTATTCAAATTTTTCCTGGAAAATTTTCAGTTCGGAAAAATGAAATTTTGTCGCATTTTTTATGGAAGCACCCCCGTATCTCACGTAATTGACTTCATCTTGGACTTTCTCTTCCTCCGGCAAATTTCAGAACCCTACCTCAATAATTACGTGAGATACGGGGGTGCTTCCATAAAAAATGCGACAAAATTTCATTTTTCCGAACTGAAAATTTTCCAGAAAAAATATGGATACTTAGTAAATTGGGCGTCCTGATTGCGATTGCGAAGTTATTTTCGACCTATTTTGATTCCTAATATCATTTTCCGGAAATTGGGGTAGTTTCATGGCTGTTGGCGAGCAGTGTATATCACTGAAGATGACCCCACTTGGTCATAGAGTGCATTTTTGGTATATCTCTCGCTCCAGCAAATTTCAGGATCCTTACCCAACGATTACGTAAGATACAGGGGTGGTTCCATTAGAAGTGGGTCACACTGTATACTGTCTGTAGGTTAATCGAGGAGGTGGTACATTCATTTTACTTGGTTCTTTGGGATTTTCTCTCCTCGTTTCTATAAAATAAAAGTATTCGTATTATTTCAATATATTTGTAGAGGGACAAATCAGATGATTTGCCCCAAAATGTCACTGCGTTTAACAAATTTTTCTATCAGGGAGTCTAAAAGAAAAATCCAGTAGCTTGTCAGTGACAATTTGTTTGAAAAAATTTTTGAAGGAAAGAAATATAGATATATTGAAAAAATATCGAATTTTTACTTATCTTTGGACGTTTCGGGACCGATTCTGCTCCCGTTCTCAACATGTAAATGCAAATTATTTTTCTTTGAAAGTTGTGCTGCGTATAGTTTGACACTTTTCAGTGTCATACTGATGTTGGCATATGAATGAGTGATTTTAGTCTACAAATGAGTTACAGGATGTTTTCTTTAATTGATCTTGAATCTACCATTTTCATGTTCAGTTGGTATTCACTACTGAAAACTGAACATGAAATGGTAGATTCAAGATCAATTGAAGAAAACATCCTGTAACTCATTTGTAGACTAAAATCACTCATTCATATGCCAACATCAGTATGACACTGAAAAGTGTCAAACTATACGCAGCACAACTTTCAAAGAAAAATAATTTGCATTTACATGTTGAGAACGGGAGCAGAATCGGTCCCGAAACGTCCAAAGATAAGTAAAAATTCGATATTTTTTCAATATATCTATATTTCTTTCCTTCAAAAATTTTTTCAAACAAATTGTCACTGACAAGCTACTGGATTTTTCTTTTAGACTCCCTGATAGAAAAATTTGTTAAACGCAGTGACATTTTGGGGCAAATCATCTGATTTGTCCCTCTACCAATATATTGAAATAATACGAATACTTTTATTTTATAGAAACGAGGAGAGAAAATCCCAAAGAACCAAGTAAAATGAATCACACTGTATAATCATTCATTATGGAACGGTGATCGACTGGTTTCAAAATGTTTTTCGAAAATGCAACATTCATTAATTCGCGCATTAATTCAACACACGCATTCGTTTTTTTATTTTTATTTTCAGTGTAACTTTTTTTCATAACTCGATAAATCGTTCATTCAGAACTTCCGAGACAGCTTCATTTTTAAATAAGTGAAATTACCTTACATTCGAGTGAAATACCGAAGAAAGTACATGCACAATATTGGCGATGTGAAAAAAACGAACATATCTATAGGGATGAAGAAACTGCATGAATAACGAGTACAGAAACCAAAATAATATAATGAATATACATCAGAATTTTGCGCAAGTAGAAAGAATAGGGTTCATCTCGGGGTTCATGCTGGGTTTATAGCGAGGTTTATAGATTCAATTAAACTAACAATTAGGAATTAACAATCAACAATTAATAATCATGAGGGTTTTTATAAATATATGATATTAATCAAGTGCTAATTAAATATCACCAAACTGCACTTGAAGAATAAGAAATCCTATCTTCAAGTTCTGTCTCCATAATTGCCTTATTCTTCGTTGTTAAGTTGAAAGTTGACCAACATTGTTATTCTTAACTGTTGATTTAAATGACAGATGTAAATGAATGATTCCTCATAGATATTTCCTTGTATTCAACTTTTTAATTCTATATCTGAATAACACCGAAAAAAATTGAGTGGTGATTCCTTGTGACATTTTAGGAAATTAAGTTCATATAAACATGTATCCTAACATTGCATCGTTTCCGAGATACAGAATATTAATATTTCCATAAAAAATCTTTTTTCTATTCATTTCTCAATTGTCTTTTCGTCAATTTCAATAAACCGTTGTGGTTTTGTTGATAGTAATATGGAGCTTCTTTTAGTGCAATTAGATTCGGAATATTATTTCCAGTGGCGTCACAGTGCGTGTGTTCATCGATATTGTAAAAACTTCACAAACGATTAGGTTTCCACAAAATTTTGTGGAAATCTTATCGTTTGTGAAGTTTTTTTACATTTGCCATGGATTTCCATCAAGAAACGGCCGAGTCAATTCAAAATTTATCGATATTCACAACTTTTTTATCCTCTGTGATTTTTGTATCTACCTTAGTTTTTGGGGAAACAATAAAAATTCGATTTGTTTCCAAATTGTAATGTAGGTGTTTTCAAGATGAAAACTTATACAGGGGGTAATAAATAGAAACAATTAATACTTCCAACTTCAACATCCTGTATCTCAAAAGCGGAGCAAGTTAGGACACATGCTTATTGCATTCTTCTCTTGCAGCAATAACTCACCCCACTATCGACATTCGCGTAAGGTGTCGCGTACTTCCACTGCGTCAAGTGATGCACCCCCGCGTACTGCCTACTCTGAAAGTCCATCGCAAGTCGGCAACAACTTCATCAACTTTCTACCGGACCGAAGGAGATAACCATGACCTCAAACGCCCGATCACAACAATGAGCATCGAGCGACAAGAAGTCTAGCTAGTAAGGTAGCCAGGCGAGAAACAATCACCAATACGTCAATCGCCTACTAGATATGCAACAAAGCGGTTATCCTTCAAAACTGCAAACCGAAACAATGCCAACTCCGACTATTGTCTAACGCGTCGGGAATGTCAACCGACACGAGCGACCGCCGGAGCGACGGATAATGAAAAAGACTTTACGGGACGATAGGCGCTCGTATTTTGCCCGTAGAAAACGAAAAGTGGCCTAATAATCCGAATCGCACGAGCACCAAGCACTTGCACCAGTACCAGCCCACTACGATTATTGTGACTTTCCGATTTCCGTTTGTTACGTTACGTGCATGAATATGTAATAATGAAACTATGACTATATGGAAACCGACTAAACCGACTATTCGCTCCCCACTGCTCATTCTCTTGGCCGATTGTTGGTCGAGAGCGCGAGACTGCTTGGCACTTTGCGATTATTGACATGGGAGCGCGCTGGGGAAGGCCTTGGGAATTTCAATCGAGAAAGTTTGATAATAAGCTCGGCAGGTGGACTGGACTGTGACGGCCTGTCGGTTGTTTCGACTTTAGAGAATCCAGAGATTGGTATTCAGTAGGACGGTTGATAATGTCTCGATGACGCCAATCGAGAATAGTATAGTCGGACAATGACCAAAGTCAACAAACCAAGCACTACCCGAATACTGGAACATGAATAACGATTTGATATATCATACAGGTTGGTTCGTACAATTTCCATTCAGTTGCTTCCTTCTCCAGATCTTCTCTGACCTTCTTGTCACGAGCAAAATCTTGACTACTAAGAAAATGACAACGTTAGGTTGTGTTCCAAGTGCGTAGGAATAATACTACTCCTCTACCACAATGGGTTTTGTAGGTGAAGAAGTTTACATAACCCTCAAAATATTATATTGTATTGACGTTATGATGAATGATGGAAGATATTTGGTGAGAACGAGGGAAATGGTGAAGGAAATTTTAACACTTTACCATGATGACGAATAGGAGGAAGGAAATGAGCAGATATTAAGAAATATGTACGAATTGTACATACCTGTTCAGTATGTCAGAATGTTGAATACAAGTATTTGCCAAAATTAAATTTTGTTCACCTAACCATTGTCGATCTAAATGAAACCCTGCCTACTAACTATCTAAGTAGGTTCTCAACAACCGTTTGAAACAATTCATATAGACGATCGGAGAGATAGCGAAAAAATCTGACCAGAACATGAAAACAAAATCATTCATTAATATCATCGACGACGTTTCAGCTGAGGTAATAAAAGAAAGTTGAACTGCAGCTAAAAATTATGTGAACCATCTCCATACATAGAAAACATAAAAAATATTGTTAGCGACAGAAATGAAAGAATGGGCTTCATCTAAGGGCATCAACTTGATTCATACCACCCCATATCATCTAGCAGGTAATGGCATTGCAGAAAGAGCAGTTCGAGAATTGAAGACCTACCTGAAATGTTACGAAAATTTTCCAGGTGTATGGAAAAAGTGTTTGGAGGCATCAGGTCAGCATCATAGCTTCTCGCATAATGACTAGTTACGTTGTTCAAGAAATTATAAGTTACATGGGAAGACGACAATACTACAAGATGATAGACATATGTACCAGAGAGAGTCCTAAGATTTTAAAAGAACAACGAAAATATAAGGAAAAAGTTCAAGAACAGGCAACTAAGGCCAGTTTCATCACATGAGTGATGATTTTTTTGAAGGGGGAGTTTTCTAGGTATATAGAAGTTTATAATAACCCTCAATATATATATTTTTTGACGTTATGTTGGGTAGTGATGACTGCAATATAGTATCAATATACTAATTATAAATAAAACTTGTATGAATGAAATACGGTTGGAATTATTCTACATCAGTTGATTATTTTTACAGGTTTATTATGGCTCACCCCTATCTACAGCTTCGCAGATAAAAGTTCACTCTATACTGCGTTCTTAATTCTCTCTAGGTAACTAAGAACACACGACGAAGGCAAGTCAACGCTATCAATGAATATCTTGCTAAAATTAAAGCCTGGAGAACCAACAACCTAGTTGAATTCAACACCACTAATCCTCAAGCCTGTATTTTCTGTAGAAAGGCAGACCTCGATATGCCTGATATATCAATGTCTGGTGCTAGAATTCTCACGAAGTCCACTATATATATGCTCGGTTATATAGAGTAGGTAAGTAAGGCTACAGGTAGGTGATGGGTATACCATATGTACTCATATGACGCATGATGGCATGATAAAATTAGTCTTATTATTCATGCCTACTGATTGAAAAATTTTCCATTTCAGATATCGGTAATTCGATATAACAATCATGGACCATTATATTGAAGAAATGGTGATTTCAATAGGCAGTTTCATTTCAATAATTATTTATATGATATATATTGGCATTTGTTGGATTATGGTTTTAATAAACTTCAAGTTTTTCTATTTTAGGAACGAGGTGAAAAAATCTATAGAAATATACGCATAAATATTATAGCATCAGTTTTCCAATCTTCCAGGATAGATGTGACTTCCAGTTGATGTGAAAGGAAATTTAACAGTTTTTACTTGAGCTGACTTTCAAAAATATAGGAGACTATATACTTCGAATGATATTTAACATAAATGTTATCTTATTAAAATCAATGCCAATGGTGCAGCAATCTTGATATGACATATACTTCACTATCACCTATGGGTAATCAGTTCAGCACTCGAAATCAACATCAGCTGGATTTGTGAAGATCACTAAAGCTGGTCATAGTATCAAATACTCCCTCTGTGGTGTTCCTCTGAAAATATTCGAGTTAAATTCAACCACGATGCCTCATAACAGATGATTAGGTATTTATATAGTATATTTTACTGCGGAGAAAAGTGTTGCCTATTCTTTAATTTTTTCGTGATGAGATATACAGTGATTCTAGTCGTTTGTACCATTCTTTATTCTCCGTGTGTTCACGCTAAAGTCACCATGATTTGCGACCATATCTGAACGTATCAAAAATTAGGTATCATTAAGTCATTGAAACTCTTTCCGATCGTCCGCTAGCATACTTTTTCACGTCTTTATTTTATTCAGAAGTACTAGCAGCTACAGTTTTGGTTATAAATAAACCTCGAAGTAAATAGAGAAGAATTATTAATGATCAGATCATTCTCATATACATACTAGATATTTTTTGTAAAGGACATCCTGTATAGAAGGTAATCAACAAAACACACTTGGAACACATGATTGAAATGATTATACTTCAAAAGCAGTTGAAACAATCGATTAAATGAGATTCAGAAATTCCGTTTCTTTGTCGTCTCGCATACTGATAGATTTGAGATCGAATGTTCAAACATTCTATCGCAATTTATCGAATTCGAAGAAAAATAAGACAATATATTTTCATTCATCAATTTTCAACTCACAGCGGCTTGTGGAAGGAACTTGTGTCATCTAGGTACCACAGATTTGAAAAAAATAGTTATTTATTACACAAGGGAAAAAAGTTGTAGGATTTCAACTACAGGTTGTGTTCTCTCCCAACGCGTAAAGGAGGGAAAATACATAATATAAATATTTTTCCCGTGTAAAAGACTAAACTTTTTTCTGTGACAGGTGAAAGGGCGAATCGATATTGAGAAGATATTGCATTATATTAAAATCAGAAAATTATCGACTTGAAATTAATTTGAAGTTTTCAACAATTACACCTGATGCGTTGCAGGTATCTTTCTGCAGGCGACTTCATCATTATTTTGAAGTTATCAAATATTTGTCAGTTTAATGTTGTGATTTGATTTCAAAATATTGCGATTTTAGTAGTTTTTCATTAATTTACGTAACCGCGAAGTGGAATGGAAGATGAAAGGCTTATTTTTCGGAACTTTAGCACAACGGAAGCCATCAACAGTATATATGTATCCGGGAAAAATAATACTAAGTTTTTCCCCGTGGAAAAGAAGTAATTCATGTAGTTTCATTTTATAACCTGTCAAACTTTTTTCCCGTCACAGAAAAAAATGCTTTTATGCAGATTAATGACAGACACTTCAAATTAATGAAAATAGAACAACTATACCCAATAACGGTCAGTAAATCTTTAAATCTTGAGCACATTTCCGAAGGAAAAAAGAGGAAGCATAAAAAAATAGGGAGTATTCCATTCATACGTAGCTACTACTAAGGAATGGATTTTTTTGCCACACAAAACAACATTATATCTTGTTCGGATATTTTATTTCTATTCATATTCGTAGGCAAGCTATAGGTAGCTCTTCAGCCGAACGATAGGACTATTTGAAAAATAATCATCAATCATTGACAAACTCCAAAGAAAATGCTAAATTCTGTACGACACTGGATGCGCTATCTATCAATAAAAGCTGATTTTAAACTTCCTCCTCTCCTTCTTTCACATTATCTAAAGCAGCTTCTCCAAAATGCGTCACTTGATATAGGTTTTATGATGTTGCTTCAATTGCAGTTGGAAAATAAACAACTGCAAAAGAAAATAATCTGACTGAACCCGGAATCATAACATATCTGAACTTTTGGTCTATCAACTAAATTAACCAATAAAAGCCAATCAGTACGAACAAGATCTTTGGTCGAATTGAACATACGATACTAAATAATGATACTGTAACAGTTGTGAAACTGAATTATACTTTTGGCCGAATGATTGAGCAATTACTTATATTCTTTCAGTGTACAGGGTGGTCATTTTTACTATATACATATTATAATCCTCAATTAATTCAAACAATATTGAAGTGGGCCAATCTTGTATACATATGCAAACGTATACAAATTTTTAACTGTACAATATTTGAAGAGGCTTGAACTAGATCTTTTCTGAATTGTTTTCAGCTCCTTTTTTTGCATA